CCTGAATTGTCTAATTCCCTTGAAATGCAATTCCAGAGCATTTAAATAAAATTAGTTCCATAAATTAAATGAAATGAAAGTAAAATACATGTCATGAGAGATGCGGGACTTCTTCAATTGCAAACATAGCTAGTACAGTACAGCTATCTACAGAGAACTAAGTTGCAGCAGCTGCTTAAGCAGTGTTTTTTTGTCTTTGGGATAAATGAGATGGTACTGCCAAAGATGTTGGATTACAAGTAGCACGAACCCATGATTACATTCTTTAGAAAAATCTGTGTGAAGTTAATAACAGCTTAATTCAATTTTGTGCTGTCTCACAGATACCATGCATTTTTTTCTTTCTGCGCCAGCGTCACTTAAAGGAAACATAGTTCATCTTTCACAGGGATGTCATACTTGAAGGGAGTCATGATCAGCGGTACTGCTAAAATGTTTCAGTTCTCCAGTTTGCTTTGAGAGTGTCTGATCACAAATTAACTCCAGATATTACTGAAGATTAAAAGAATGATCGGTGCATACCATTGTCTTTCCAATCCTTTCACCAATTTTCAATTTTCCTATTTTTAAAAAATATAATAAAACTCATTCATTTAAACAGATTTGCAATTGATGGATAAAATACAAATGAACCATTTGTTCATGTGCCTCTTTGAGTATTATAACTTCAAAAGCGGGTGTGTAAAAAAATTACACTTGTTATAAGCCAATTAAGGGAGGAAGCTTATGTACAACAACACAGGAATTAAAATTGAAACCATTATAATCATTAAAATGCCAAGCTATCCTTAACCAAAGTGCAAACAGTAGGCAACCATGAGCAAACAATTGATGCATATTATTCTCCTGATTGGTTGTATGATTCAGGTCAAATCAAAAATTGCACAACTCCCTTAGGAGATGAAAGAAAAACCAAGTGGTCTACACAAAGCCTGTGTATCCTGGTGGCCAACAGTTGAGGTGATACACAAGTCAATCAGGTCTTTCATTGAGATATTAACATATCGGGAGTCAAGAATTTGCCAGTACTTTGATGTTACAAACTCTGATGATTGAATTTAATGTCAAGGGAGAAGGACTGAATTTTCTTCATGTTGGTTGAGTCCCATTAGTGAACTCAGAGATGACCTCACTTTGGAATGTGGTGAGATCCCGGGGTAGCAATTTACTTATGGTGTTCATTTAACAAGCCACCATCAGGGCTGTCATCCTATTGAGGAAAGTAGTTTAGTCCCAAGAGCTGTAGACCCAATCAGAGGATTGGTTGTTTGGCTGCCTCATCAGTGCCACCAATTGCGATAATTATTGCTAAGTCTACAACAACCTGTAGAGGGGCCTTCAAAGAAGAGGTAGGATTGGTTGGGGAGAAACTAATGCCAGGAGGCAGATCTGACCTGAAGAGTGGAGTAGCACACTTGTACTGCCTTTCTTGCAAGGCCATAACTGCCATTGGGAACATAGTGCCCTGTACCACAACACTAATTAAGGAGGCTGCCAAGGTTTATTTGGTGAAGCCACCACAAGGCCATAAGAAACAGGAACAGGATTAGGCCATTCGGCCCCTCAAGCCTGCTCTGCCATTCTGTTGGATCATGGCTAATCCAACACTCCTCATGTCGGGTTTCTTGCCCTTTCCCCATAACCATTGATTCCCCTACTGATCAAGAATCTATCTTTCTTAGCTTTAAACATACACAAAGACTCAGACCACACAGCTCTCTGTGGCAAGGAGATCCAAAGACTCATACGCTTTGAGAGAAGAAATTCCTCTTCAACTCAGTCTTAAATTGGTGCCCCTTTATTCTGAGCCTATGCCCTCTTTTCCTAGACTCTCCCATGAAACATCCTCTGAGCATTTACCCTGTCAAGTCGCTTACAAATCCTATATGTTTCACCTCTCATTCTTCTAAGTTCCAATGAGTAGAGTTTAAACCTGTTTAATCTTTGCTCATAAGACAATCCCTCCATACCAGGGATTATCCTCATGGACCTTCTCTGAAATGCCTCCAGTGAAATAATATCTTTTCTTAAATAAGGGGACCAAACAGCCCACAGTACTCCATGTGTGATCTCACCAACACCTTGTACAATTGCAATAAGAATTCCTTACTCTTATACTCCAATCTCCTTGAAAAAAGGGTCAACATTCCAATTGCCTTCCTGATTACCTGCTGCACATGGATGCTAGCTTTCTGCGTCTCATGCAGAAGTACACCCAAGTCACTTTGTGTTGCAGCTTTCTGCAGTTTTTCTCCATTTAAATAACACTGTTCTTTTATTCTCCTTTCCAAAATGAACAACTTCACATTTTCCCACATTGTACTCCATTTGCAACTTTTTACCCACTTACTTAGCCTATCAATATTTCTCTGTGAACTGTTTGTATCTCTCTCACAACCTGACTTTCCATTTATTTTTGTGTTATCTGCAAATCTGGCTACAGTACATTCACTTCCTTTCTTGAAGTCATTAAGATATATTGTAAATAGTTGTGATCCCAGTATTGATCACAATGAAACCCCGGTGGTCAAGGCCACCAACCTGAAAAAGAACCCTTTACCTCCATTCATTGTTTACTGCCCATTAGCCTATTCTCTACCCATGCCAATATACCACCTCCAACACTGCAGGTTCTTATCTTATGACTGAACCTTGTGAGGTACCTTGTTGAATGCCTTCTGGAAGTCCAAGTATAACAGCTCTATTGGTTCTGTTCTATCCACTTTGGTTCAGATTTCCTCAAAAAACTCCAATGAATTAGTCAGACATGGGTTCCCTCTCATGAAGACATAAAGACTCTGCTTGATTAATTTATGATTTTCCAAATTTTTTGCTCTTACTTCCTAAATAATTGGTTCCAATACTTCACCAACCATAAATGTTAGCCTCATCAGGCTATAGTTACCTGCTTTTTCCTCCCTCCGTTCTTGAATAGGGCTGTCACATTAGCAGTTTTCCAATCCTCTGTTACTGTTCCAGAATCCAAGGATGTTTGGGAAATTACAACCAATGCACTCACTATCTCTTTTAGGATGCGAGGACGCAAAACTTGTCAGTTTTCAGATCCATTAGTTTGTCCAATAATATTTCTCTGTGATGATGATAGTACTTAATTCCTCCCCACTATTCTTTAGTATTAATGGGAAGTTCAAAGTATCTTTCACCATAAAGACTAATATAAAATATCTGTTTAACTCCTCTGCTATTTTCTTGTTCTCCACAACCATGTCCTCAGATTCATTTTCTAAGTGGCCTATGTTCACTTTGACATCTCCCTTCCTTTTTATGTGTATAGAGAAGCTCTTACTGCCAGTTTTTATATTCCACTCTGACTTCTGAAGAAGGGTCACTGGACTTGAAACATTAATTCTGCTTTGTCTCCACAGATGCTACCAGATGTCCTATTATCTCCAGCAATTTCTGTTTTGCTTCAGATTTCCAACATCCACAGTTCTGTGCTTTAATTTAATTTATGTTCCTCGCTAGTTTGCCCTTACAATCTATTTGCTCTCTCATTATAATCATTGTAGGCCTCCTTTGCTGGATTCTGAATTTATTCTACTTTTCAAGGCTATCACTGACTTGTGCCTCATTATATGCGTTTTCTTTCAGCTTAATACTCTCCTTAACTTCCTTGGTTACCCATGGTTGGTTCATCCATGGCAACAGACTCTCACAATGCAGGCAAAATGTCCATAGTGTTGGGACATGTCTAGTCATGGCATTCTCCAGTTGTAAGTGTTAAAGAGCAAGATGCTTCCCAGGCAGTTTTATATACTGACTCTTTCCATTTTAAGTATGATTTAATTGTTGTAAAGACCAAGATTTATAGCCTCCAATTTCACTCAGGCCTTCTGATGTGGATCAGCAATATCATTGATCTAACAGGATCCAGCATTTTGGAGAGAATCAAGAATGAGCTGCAAAGCCTCCTACTGGGTAAGTATGCAGTAGCAGCTCATTGAGCAGATTGATATTGGCTCTTGAGCCATATTAAAGTGCCCCATCCTATTAGTGTCAATGGAGCTGCTTGAGGACAATGACCTTGTAAGATTATCACTGTGACTCGGAGGGGAACTGAAATACATCATATTATGTTTTGGACTGGGAGAGTATTTTGTCAGAAATGTTCCTCAAAGTTTCCTTCAGCATTGGAAGAAAACAATAATAACAAATGCTTTCAATGAATGAAGACTTTATTTGAGCTGGATTGCATTGAGTTGGTATTACTTTGACTCTGAACAGGATAAATTGGAAATTTGTGTACGTGTTATTATCCTTTAATGATTGGCACTTGTGGGCAGCAACTGAAGGACGTTTGCAACAAGTGCAACCTTTGACCTTTGCATCAATAAATTGAAGCAGTTCCATTGAACGAGAGGATTTGTATTAATAAAGGCAATCCAGCTCGTGAGAACACACTCTGTTATCAGATAATAAATTCAGTGTGATTCACCAAGCCTACAAGCTGATGCTTTTAATGTTGCATAGCATGTGGATTTCTGTGCACATCTAGGACACATTTACTTAATAATTATAGAACTAGAAAAATTACTGCAAGCCCAGCCCTGTAATGCAAGGGATCAGATGGAACTCTTCCTCCAACCGGTTAGTTCCTCTATCGATCAGACTCAATCTGGAAATTCATACACTATAAGACTGCCGGGGAAGCAGACACACATTATTGCACAGCAAATAGCAGTATAGTTATGTACGGAAGCACTTTATTCCTTTGTGCTTGCTTTTGTAGAGAGGGCAGGATTTACATATTCTCAAAATTCTGAAATTCCCTCCCTAATGGCATTGTGGGACAACCTACAGCCTGTGGGCTACAGCAGTTTAAGAAGACAGCTCAACACCACCTTCTCAAGGGTAACTAGGGATGGGCAATAAATGCTGGCTCAGCCAGTGTTGCCCGTATCCCATGAGTGAACAATAAAATATTTCTATTCTAATGATGGACTCGAGAATAAATTACATTCATTTCAATGCTCCAGTACCTGGGATGAGAGGAGGTACATATTGCACAGGAGTATCCTTTCTCCTTGGCTTTTTCTGTTCAGCCTCAACATCCTTTGACTCATCTGTAGCCTTTTGTTTCTCACGCTCTTCATTTACTTCACAGGTTTTTATTAGCTGCTCTGAGAGGTTCGAAAGATCATCTGTCAGAAAGAAATGTGCAGAGATGCGTTTGAATGAACTTTCTGAGTCAGAATCATCAGAAGCCAATTATTTTATGAGCAAAGCAGCAGATAGAGATCTTTGTTCAAGTAGCACTCATTTCAATTGTAAAAATCAAATAGAGAGAGAAATAACCTTTCCAACAGTGAACAGGCTCAGGAAATGATTAATGCCACATTCCCTCTTTGTGTTTCAGAGACACTGCACTGACAGAACTAACAGGAAGCATGGAAAACTATTTCAAAAGCTCTTATCAAACAATTGTTTCAACATGAATGGGGCTTTGTGTGTATGCAAGCCCCATGCACACATGCTCAGGGTTAACTGAGTTAGTAGCTAATTGTAACAAGAGGTGAAAGGAAAGCATTCAAAGATGTAGAAGTAAAAATAATGGTATGTTCCAGTGCAGATAGAGGTCATTCAGCCCATTGTGTTCATACTAGCTATTTGGGAGTTTTACACAGTCCCACTCTAAGTGTATTTTCTTGACCAAGATGGATGGCATACACAGAACACTTGCCTGATGAATATCATTAACAGTGAATCTGCTCTGGCTTGTCAATCTTGAACATTCCTGGCCCCATTTTAAAGATTGCCCACACCTCTCAAAGGGGAGGCACTTTGAATGCAGGGAAATGTCAGTGAATATTCAAGGGAAGTTGCAAAGCATTAATTCACATTACACCAACTGTCCCCTGCCATTTTCCTGATACTGTGAAATAGGATTTGGTAAAGGAGGTTGTTATGATAAGGAACATAAGGAATAATTCTAAGCAGGTAGCTCCACATGAGTGGGGGGAGGTGACAGAGGGCATCATTGTCTGAAGCACTGTGCTATGAGGTGGATGCAACGCTGATAATTGTTTTATGGCCTCACAAGAATAGCTAAGGTAAGCCTGATAATTATTATTACTCTTCAGTTTGCCTTGCACCACCATTCTTTACGAATTCATGGAATGTAGGTGAAGCTAACATTTATTGCCAATTCTTTTAAAATTGCCCTAAGAAGGTGACAGCAAATCATATCCTTGAATCACTGCCTCAATGCAATGTATATATAGACGTGGTGCTGTTGAGGAGGGAATTCCAGGATATTGATCCAGCAATAATATGAATTGTAATATAGTTCCAAGTCAGAATGATATGAGACTTAGCCTCCTTACGTCTACTCTTTCGAAATACTCCTGACTCATTACGTTGCAAGTGCACCCAACTATCCCTTTTTATAAATTTCCTCACATTCCCATCTCTAAGCCTGCCACCTACCCTCTTTATTATGCAATTTCAAACCACTCTCTGATAGTCACCCTTATCAAATGCATTATATCCACATGTCACAGGCCTTCTCTTTCTCCTATTGCAGAAGAGGGTGGAGGACACTAGAGAGAGAAAGAGAAAAAACAAGGTGGTTCTTCTGATGATGTTGGTTCCCAGCACTGCCAATATATTCTCGGATAGATTCACTGTCGCTGATTCTTCTTATTGGTATTAGGTGAGCCACAGCTACAAAGTGGGATGCCCAGATGATAAATTTGGCAGAGGATGGGCTCGGTCTTGATAAAAACTTAAAATATTGTTACATAATACATATTAACATCTTTAGCTCATATAATAGAAGCTCAATTGTTTCAACATAAAGGCAAGTAGATGGCCACATGCTGTTAATGCTAAGAACAATCATTGAAGCATCAGTTAGGACACAAAGAGAACTAGATAAGAACACATAGAGAACTAGTTTAGACACACACATAACTCTGGTTAGCTCAACCCAGGAGCAATTCTTTATATCCCAATGGGCCAAGCTCATCTTATGATGTTAATTAACCCTTTCCGGCACTACCCTGAAAAGGAAAAAGGTTGAGGGTTATGCTCGAATTAATAACCACAAGTGACCACCAGACATCTTCTGACAGGCTTTACCTGACATGATAGGTCAAGGAAATTCCACTACTGCCTGCAGGAGACATGTGCTTCCTGTGAGCTGAATTCTTTGCTGCTGCCCTATGTACTACTCCCCTGTCTGATATATAGCTTCAGGTCTTTGATCAATTGCACTGGGTCACCATTCTTCTCATCAAATCGAAGGGAGCCAAGCTGCTACCCCTCTTGATGTGATTCAGAAAACCTCGAACATATAGAAGGGCAGCTCTCAGCAAAAGTAGTGTGAACAAACACTTTCCAATTTGTAAGTAGGAAGCAGTGATGAGGGATAAATATTGTTGTAGTATTTTTATGAATTTTAATCTATCCCTCAATTTTGCTATGCTTTTAAACTTTAGGAAGCCTGCAGATCATAGATAGAATCATAGAATCCCTACAGTGTGGAAACAGGCCCTTTGGACTGACAAGTCCACACCGACCCTCAGAGCATCCCAACCAGACTCATTCTGCATAACCCATCTAACCTAAACATCCCTGAACACTACGGGCAATTTAGCATGGCCAATCCACCTAACCTGCACATCTTTGGACTGTGGGAGGAAACCGGAGCACCCGGAGGAAACCCACGCAGACACGGGGAGAACGTGCACACTCCACACAGACAGTCACCTGAGGCTGGAATCAAACCCAGGTCCCTGGCGATGTGAGGCAGCAGTGCTAACCACTGAGTCACCGTGCTGCCCTATATATTAAGCATATATAAAATAATAAGTCAGTTGTTAAGTTTTGTGGTATCAAAAAAGAACAGTATTTTCCTCTTTGGCCATTCTTTTCTAATTTGTCACAATCATCTCCAACTTGCAAGTCTTCTGTGTTTTGGTTTCTTTCTTTAAGTGATCCCAGATTCTTTAATCCCATGTTTTACAAAAAAATCATCAATGATCATCCACTAACATAATTATGTTATTAATTTCAATAGTACAGTGGCGGTAGACTATTGTGTTATGTCATACAGTCAATATGTTATATACCTTTATAAGAAATGATACTAGTACTGTATCCATAGCATGTGATCTGAGGTTATAAAGATCACATACTCCAACTCACACTAAGATCACTTGAAGCGTAACTTGTAGCGTACTCCTGTGTTGAAACCTAAAGCTTAATATTAGCCCAAGTAGCTAATGTACGTGGAGAATGGAATGTTTGTACATAATATTTAGTTGTAGCAAATATCCAATGGAATCTTCAATAGCTCAATACCCACAATCAGTTTTATGTTGTGGAGAGAACATAAAATATGTTGCGGCAGATAAAACTGCCTGTTGGAAACAAATTCAGACCATAGAGTATGGATTAAAAGGAATATTTTTTAAAAAGGAATATTTTGAAATATACTACTTATGGATTGACTGACTGAAAGAGAGGAAAGAAATCACAGTCATGAGAGGCATCTTCCAGACCTGCCCACAGATATTAGAAAGACGGGTAGGAGAACTTGGTGGGAGGCAATGTTTCAGTTTCCTGATGGTGAGTTAAAAATTTACCATTAAATTCTCTGGACATACCAGACAGATCAATTTGCTGGCAACTTCTTCTGCAAACATTAGCATGTCATGAATGCTTATTCACACCCCAGCCTTCTGGAGCTACATTCAGTCTCATTCGGCAGAAATGGGAAATGCATGTTCACAAACCCAATTACATATATGTATATGTATGTACAGAGAATATACCTTGTGGGCAATATGTCTTCTTCTAAGCACCAGTGAGTACAAATGTCTTCAGAAACTCAGCTGTTTCATAACTGATCTATTGCTTTGAACAAAAGTTCACAGTAAAAGGGGTGGAATCTCTGTGTCAAACAAATAATAAGTCTTAGTCATATGTGGTTTTGCCTGTTGTAGTTAAAAGCTTACAATGCAAGGGGTGAAGACTGATCAGGTAATTAACCTGCCCAAACAAGGCAACCACACTTGGCTCATGCCAGCAAACCTCTTCAAGGCAAGCAAGCAGAGCTCAACTCAAAGGAGAAATGAAATGAAATGGGCTGCCTAATGAAAAGTAGGCTGTACAGAAAAGAAAGCCCAACAGAAAGGTGGGCTTGGTGAAAAGGAATGGAATTACAAGAATGTGGTTATCAGGGTCACTGGAAGGAATTTGGAAAATAAAAGGAGCAAGCTGGGATGTAGAGGGTAGATTTACAGTGCGAGGGGTAAAGAGGGCAATGAAGTGTGAAGTTTCATATTGAGGATGGGGAATACAATAGAATAACTGCTGTACAGGTATTTCTGCTGTAAAGTGTGTTTCATTATCGTGAATTGGCTGTAAGGTGATTGTTGAATAGTGGATGCTGCACAAGTAACGCAAACTCTCTGCTGTACAGGTAAACCAATTTTCTAAAGTGATTTCCCTATATCATAATTTTCTAAAGCAAATTCCCTATAATACAATTTTCTGAAGTAATTTCCCTATAACACAATTTTCTAAAGCGATTTTCTGTAGTGTGAGATCACACAAGAACGCAACTGTTATGTTATAGAAGAACTACCTGTAGAGGCAGAATGACCAGTGGAACCGAAAAAAAATGGTTGAATATAAGGATCTGGATGGGAGTGGATCAGGGGAAGAGCAGGAATATCAAGGAGCACAATGAAAGGCAAGATAAGCACAGCAGCATGTTGAAGAAAGTCTGACAGGGAACAAAGACTATGTATTCTTATGGGGGGATCCATATACACTAAAGGGAGAGGTAGAAATGAATGATTTGAAGGAAAGGATTACAATTACTATCTTTCTCTAACTCATATCTCAGGGAATGCAAATGGTAAGAGCCCAAGGCCTGTTTGCATGTGTTTCTGTACAGTGTAAACACACATAATGAGGACAACAAAAACAAAACCTAAAAAATACTATTACATGCGCAGTCAATGGCTTTGCACTGAAGGGAAGCACTGAGAGGGGCATCTAAAAATCACCACTAATGGTGATGGTACTGGCTATTCCACATTCAGATGTGCAGGAACATCAACAGACCTCTGTATCTGTAATTTAAAGACATGGGGATGAAATTGTTATGCAGGGCTGTAGATTGCAAGTT